TAACATCTATTTTGACCTTTTCCTTCTTTCTTCTCAAAGTCTTCTCAATGACTTTTTGCTTTCTTCATGTATGATGTTCTCAATGTCATCCCATAACTCTTCTGGTCTTTGTATCAAATTTGTTCTTCAGATGATCTCTAAATTCAGGTGGGATATATTCAAGGTCATATTTTGGCTCTCGTGGACTTGTTTTTATTTTCTTCAGCTTCAGTTTGAATTTGCACATGAGTAATTGATAGTCTGTTCCACAGTCTGCCCCTGGCCTTGTTTTGACTGATGATATGGAGCTTTTTCATCGTCTCTTTCCACAGATGTAGTCAATTTGATTTGTATGTGTTCCTTCAGGTGAGGTCCAAGTGTATAGTCATTTCTTATGCTGTCTAAACAAGGTATTTGAAATGAACAAATCATTGGTTTTGCAGAATTCTATCATGCGTTCTCCAGCATCATTTCTATAACCAAGGCCATATTTTCCAACCACTGATCCTTTCTCTTTGTTCCCAACCTTTGCATTCCAATCACCAGTAATGATCAATACATTTTGATTGCATATTTGATCAATTTCAGATTGAAGAAGTTGGTAGAATTCTTCTATTTCATCCTCACTGGCTTTAGCGGTTGGTGCGTAAATTTGAATAATAGTGGTATTAACTGGATTTCCCTGTAGGCACATTTATATTGTACCTCATGACTGATCTGTATATGTTCTTTTTGACGATGAATGCAACACCCTTCCTCTTCGTCATTCCCGGCATAGTAAACCATGTGGTTGTCAGATTCAAAATGGCCATTACCAGTCTATTTCAGCTCAGTAATGCCTAAGATATCGATGTTCATGCGTTCCATCTCATTTTTGACAATTTCTAATTTTCCTAGATTCATACTTCGTACATTCCATGTTCCGATTTTCAATGGATGTTTACAGCTGTTTCTCTTCATTTTGAGTTGTGATCCATCAGCAAATGAAGGTCCCATGGGCTTTTCTCCCACAGGCTTTATTCCATTTGCATTTTCAGGGTCAACTTTACTTTGTGGAGGCAATTCTTCCCCAGTCACGTTTTGAGTGCCTTCCAACCTGAGGGGCTCATTTCCTAGCACTATATCTGACAGTGTTTTTCTGCTATTCATAAGGTTTTCAGTGACTAAATATTCGGAAGTAGTTCGTCACTCTTCCTAGTCTGTGTTTGTCTGGCAGCTCATCTGAAACCTGTCTACAATGGGTGACCCTGCTGGTATTTAAAATACCGGTGGCATAGCTTTCAGAATCACAGCAACTCACAAGCCACCACAGTACGACAAACTGAGACGAGTGGTGGCCATGTGGTTTTAAGTGGAAACTGTCACAATTCTCACAGATATTTGACTCTTATTTTGTCCAATAAATTTATTACTGTCATATACCCAACTTCCTCACACTTTCATTCAGTTCCATCAAGTAGTCTCTTGCGCTCGCCAACTTCATCCTTTAAAAACTCATTTTTCTTGATTCAATCTTTTTCTTTGCTTCCCTTTTATTGTATGTGCTATCCTTATTCTATGAACTCTACTCAGAAGTTAACCTCTAAATTCCCTTCTATTTAAAAATTTTTTTTATTGTGAATTGAGTGAAGTCTACAGAGTAGATCAGCAGCTCCACATTCAGAAAATCATATATTCTGCTTCATTACAATGATTGTAATCCACGTCATGTACCATGAATTAAGAGTAATTACCTTGATTCACTTTAACTATCACATTCTTCCCTGTGTCTCTTGCTACATTTCTCTTTTCTTTGCTAACTTCCCTTTTGCTGTATATTGCCTGCACCATTACCCAATTTAACAAGTGTCTACCATCTAGGCCATGAATAATTTTCCAACACTGCTCATGATAATCACCACAGATTGTTTATTTTATTAAGAAAATATTTTCTTAACTTTTTGTAACATTGGTCACAACAATATTTGTCCTTTAGACTAAATTCACTCAACATAATGTCCTCCAAGTTCACCAATGTTGTGAGATGTTTTGCAGACTCATTGTTATTTTTCAACATTATACAGTATTCCAATGTGTATATGTACCAAAGTTTGCAGAACCATTCTTCTGTTAATGGGCATTTTGGCTGTCTCCATCTTTTTGATGTATCACTTGTAGATAGCATATTTAAAGGATCATGTGTTCTTATCCATTCTGCTGTCTCTTGACTGGTACATTTAATCCATTTACATTCAGTGTAATTATCAATAGATATGAATTAATTGCTGTCATTTTGCTGTGTGCTTTTTTGTGGTGCTGCTAGTTTTTTTGTTCCACATAATTTTCTGATCTGAGTTCATTTAGTTGTTTGGTTTTCTTTTCTTTTCTTTTTCTATCTGTTAGGTTAATGTTTACTAAATCTGCTTT